GAGACTATCACACTACCACCACCTTGTTTGACTGTTGGCACGATAATCTTCTTATGCTGAGGAAAGGTGAGATGAGAAAACCTTCCAAAAACTTTTGTCTTGTGAGTCCAGATATTATTTTGCCAAAAGTTTTGGGGATCATCGAGATGTTTTTGACACTGTGAGATGAGCCTTTCTTTTTGGTCAGCAGTGATTTACTTAGAACTCTCCCATGAATACCATTTGTATCCATTCTCTTATTGTTGAATCATGAATTCTGACTTTTACTGAACCAAGTGAAGGCTGCAGTTCTTTAGATGGTGTTTTGTGACCTCGCTTGCGGTGTAATTTTGGTAGTCACTGCTGGGAATATTAAATGATGTTCCAAGTTCAAAGCATTATAAACAGCTTTGTAACCATTTCCAGGGTGGTGGATGCAATTACTGTGATTTTTAAGAGTTCCTGTAGATAGTTGCATGATCTGTTGCTTTTTGTAATCTTTAGGCTGATTCGCTTTGTCACAAAGGTTCTGTTTAAGGGAATTCTTAAAATGAACAGGTTTGGATACATTGGACTATTATTTTCTTAATGATTTGATGCATGTCACTGTGCCAAATATGCAAAAAATGAAGACAACAAAATAATCAACTATAGATGACATATCTATTTTATGTAACATTCTATTTTCAGACAACAGTTTTGATTAACAGAAATTGTCACTGACAACAAACAAAAGTCTCCAGAAAATAGTTTACTAGCTGATAGCACATGTTGTTGTTGTTATAACCCAATCTGATAAGAAATACCTCTTACACACTTGCAGGGTTTACTTTACCTCTCCTCCTGTCTCGGTATATAAGCCCCAGTAGAACAGTGGACACCAGGTAAGGCGTTCCCACCAACAGGTGAAATACTAGTCTTAAGACAGAAAAAGAGCAGGGAGCGGCCAGTTCAGCTGCAGATGTAGATGAAGGAAACTCCTGAGATGAAGCTGTAAAGAGATGAACATGGAAATTATACATTTAAATGCTTTATTAAATACATGTTTTCTTTAATTGTGTCTTTTTCAGGGGTAGAATGTTTTTCTCTCTTCATCATTTGCAGATGTACAAAACACAGACAAATATGCATATTTTTGAGTTTTTAGATATAATTCCTCTAACAACCATTTTTTAATTTCCTTTTTCTTAAAATGCTTTATTTTTAAATTGCTCAATATTGTATATGTGATGGGATTTTTGTTGCTCACCATCAACTGCCAGCCAGCTGCCTAGTGATTCTTCACCTCCTGAAATGCTGCATTTATAGAGTCCTTCATCAGATTTAGAAACCCTTTTAATGGTGATTTCTCCTGTGGAGTTCCTTTTGATGCAGTGGCCGTCTTTATAGAAATCAAAAAACTGGTTGAAGGACTTTGTCTCAGGTGTACAATGCAGTGTTACAGTGGCACCCTCGGACACGGGGAGGGCAGGACTCTCCAGAATCACAGGCTGATCTTTGGAAAATGCAGAAAATCAAGATTTGTCATTTATATAGGCTTTCTTTGCTTCGTTTCTAAATGATCTGCCTTAATCAGTGTGACTTTAAGTTTAAATATTGTATAGCAGAACTTAACGTAGTGTTATTCATACCAGTAATGGTAATGTTGACCACATTGCTCTGCTCCCCACTGACAGACTCACACCAGTACACGCCGCTGTCTGGTGGGTAGGTTTGTCCGATGATGCAAGTCGAACCCGAGGAGGCATAGCCCCAACCAGAGGAGCAGGGTCTGGTCCCCCCTGCGAGCGTTTTCCTCTTCACTTTCCAACCAGTGTTGTTCAACTGTTCGCCACAGCTCAAAGAGATGTTGTCATACCTGAAGAACTGAGACCTGTCAGGGTTGACCTGAAGACAGGCTGGAAGGAAGGGAGACACAAACAGACAAGGAAAGGGTGAAAATTAAAAAAAACAAACAAAAAACCAACAACGAAAAAAAAAACAGAACAAAAATAATATATTAAGGACCGAATAAAAGCAGTGTTTAAGAAATTAAATGTAAGCAGGGATAATGATGGATTATAAGAATTGTCCAAATTGCTCAAAATATCCTTAAATGTTGAATTTTGTACTCACTCAGCATCAGGCAGAATGGTGTTAGCTGCATCCTGTGTCAACACCAACTAACAGAAAAACAGACGCTGATCTCTCACTTCCTGAAGATTTTGGTAGGCGTGCTTGTTTTGTTTGATGGTAGCTGCTGAGGGAAACACATCGAAATGTGTTTGCTCATCAACAGTTGATTAATGCAACTGACCTGCTTACTAAATGCATCGATTTTATTTCGGGGAAAGTACACCAAACTATAAAACAACCCAAGAAGTTGCCTATGCAAGTAATGCAATCATATATTAACAGTATTATCTGTTTTTACGCATATAAATGCTGGTTTGATATCCATTACTTGTTTTTGATCTTCCTTACACCAATTTATATTTTTTACAAGATGCGAGCAGCCACCTTAACCCTTAAATGTGTAAGTGGGTCAAAAATGATCTGGTGAGGTTGTTTTCTTTCAATATCTTCATAATGAAAAGTTATTATTTTTTATTGCAGTTATAACCCCCCCCCCCCCGAAAAAAAAAAACAACATGTTATTGATACATGCCATTTAAGTTTTTTAATTACCTTTTATACATTTTACAAAACTGCCATTTTTGTATTACTACCAGAAACTTTAATAAGTGGCTCAAAAATGATGCTCCGTTAGGTATCATAAGTTTCCTAGAAACAAAGGTCGTAAAGTAAAGTCAACAGTATGTGTGTATCGATTGTAGCTCGAAACAGGTAGTTTGTCACAATTGAATACAGCGAGCAGATAAGGCAAGAAAACAGCAATGTTTGACTAACTTACTTAAGAATGTAGAGTCCAGTCACTCGTGGATCTAAGAGTTAATATCAGCTGCTGATTTGTGGGCTGATTTATGAGCTACTAGTGATGGGATTTCTGGCTCTTTTTAGAGAACCGACTCTTTTGGCTCGGCTCACTAAAAAGAGCCGGCTCTTTCGGCTCCGAACCGGCTCTTTCAATTTGTTTTGTTGCTTTAATTAATTTATTATTAACAACAATACAAAATTATGCACAAAAGGAAAAAGAAAAGAAAAAGGAAAAGAAAAAAAACCTTGTGTCGTTCACTTCAAAGAGTCGGCTCTAAGAGCTGTTTCGTTCGCGACCGACACATCACTATGAGCTACCATTCTGAAGCACCAGTTTTAGCATTGCGGCTTTTCTTTGAGCTAAAAGTATCCAAAGATTGAATGCTCTGTTCTCACTAATGCTTGCCAGTGAGATGCATGCATAAACAACAGGTATGAACACAATGACAGACTAATAAAATGACAGAATTTGTCAGAACTGGTAACAAACATCTTCTTGGATGGTATTTTAGTACACAACAAATAATCACACAAGCAGTTGCTAGCCTAGCAAGCACAGCTGATGTCTTTTCACTAAAATGGCTAACCACTTTCATAACAACCAACCCTTCTGCACTTTAACGTTTTTTTCCACTAATAAAGAAATTGGAAAAGTGATACAGATATTTAGCACAATGCAGTTTTAAATAATATAAGCCCCCATATAAATAGAGATATTTAGTGATTGTGGAGAAGTAAGTAAATGGTAAATGGACATGTATATCACCTTTATATCACCGTTCTACAAGTCTTACTCACCCAGTCACACACATTCATGCTGGGCTTATGTCTCAGCACTTTTTAACATTTACATGAATGTACTGGGGTCAAAATGAGGTTCAGTATCTGATACTTTGGTGTGCATTCAGTATGAGAGCATTAAGAATGAACCACATCATTGACAAATCAGTGACAGTGCTTTGAGGTCTGTGGTCTCTTTGAGCATGTGATTCTTCTTGGAGAGGTCTGCCATTCTGTGGCAGCTGGAGGACACTACAAATGTTAAGCTTTTCGAGGCAGAGGGAAAACTTGGCTGCTCAACACTCGGCATGCCTTCACTTCTCAGCCTACCATCTACTATCTTTTTTTAATTGAAGACAATGACTAACCTCATTTTTTTGTTCCCCTTATACATCAATACAGCTTTTATACATATGCCACTAAGAAAAAAAGAAAAACACAAGGATGTGTTGGGGGAAAAAAAATCACACATTTAATCTTTAATGCATGTCCTTCTTTACTACATCAATGAATCTTCCCTTTGGTCCTCCAAGAGATCCACTACTCTGTCAAACATTAAATTAATCTGTGTGCATCCCACTAAACAAAATGTAGTTTACTATGGGTATCTTGAGATAATCAGACTATCAAAAGGCAGGTAAAGATTCAAATTTCTTAGTGAAACGGAGGATTAAAACCCAAAGTGTTAATTTCTTTACTTTTTTTTGTTTTATATTAAATAAAATAAAACCCAATGAGTCACGTTGTTAGATCATCTCATTCCTCACTTAAAGATGGAATCAGTTTAATTTTTTTTAAAACTTTTTTTCTAATCTTCATATAATTTATACCATAACTACCTGTGAAAACTGAACAAGATTTGTGTGCAGTTTGTAAAGTACTGATGAGTGCATGCAATGAGCACATAAAAACAAACCAGTTCACTCTGAGAGGCCACATCCCCACAAATTACAACCACATCTGTGCACAGACTGAACTCTGTCTTTGTTGACAAATGTCACACAAGCTCAGAAGGGTTAGCTACTTCTGATCTTATCAATGCGCAGGTTTCATTCTATATTCACATAGATTCTGGGTTTGCCAATAAAGTGTAATGGAGCTGTGACTAAATGTTCTTTCCATTATGAAATATTAGCTCATTACGAACAGCTAGCTGTTTATTTTTTATCATTTTTACTGGCCAAAAATCACTTACCACTGTTGCCTCAGAGAAATCAGGTTGTGAGTTCAAATCCACCAGCTAGAGCCTTTCTGAGTGGAATTTGTATGTTCTCCCCATGTTTGGGTGGGTTCTCTGTGAGTAATTTGTCTTTATCCAGCAGTCCAAAGACCTGTATGGGATTAGGCTAAATGGTGATTATAAATTGGCCACAGTTATTAATGGTGTTAGCACTATGATAGCTCAGTGTCCTGTCCACTGGGGTAAGAACTGGATACAGTAAGTGGAAAAAAAGATGATGGCTGAAATTGTTCATTTTACAAAGTGCTAAAAAGTCACCAGAAATGACATTCATCAAGTCCTAGGGTTACACCTTTTAATGTGTTGCCCCGTTAACAATGAAGACTTGTATAAAAACAATTTGGTAAATAAAGCGGAGAATTCCTCCATTTCTCTGAGAAGATGTTTAGGG